GCCCCCCCCTGGCTACGCCACTGCGCCGAACTGTCAAAAAAAGGACAAACTACGTATTCCTGCATTTTCTTTCGATTGTTCAACAGAAAGAGGTGAAACTCTCGGTATGATTTGTGACACGAATTTGGATTGGAAACGGAATCTTACGGAACAATCGAGTAAATCGAGCGAAGTATGTATGTATGTGGGACTCATAATTTTCTAAGGGATCGATGTATTGGAGCTGGCGCTAGAAAAGTCCACTGACAGAAGACAGATATTGATTACGCGTTCCTTGGCCTTTACACCCAGTAAGGCCGTATAAACTATATAAAGTTTTCTTCTTACTGATATTTTCAGCAGATACCAAGCCAGTTGCTAAGCAACCAGATTAAAAACAGCTTTATATGTGGAGGGACTTTTGTTCCGGCCACTAAAAAGTTGAAGCCACCATTCCATCAACCCAGCTTAGTCTGAATTACTGGTGTAGCCCAATATTTTTCTACGAAAATATGTTCTCTACCGGAATTCCAGAGAGAAGCTACTGCGTAAACCGCTCCGACTTATGTGGAAGCAGGGTGAACCGCCATATTTATGGAAGGATCAGAGTTTGACAATCCTAATACTGCAGCGTTTTTCACGCCGAATTAATAGGGAGGCTTCCAGTGAGAGTGCTTCACTTCCAGACGTTCTAAGTTGTAGCCAGTCGATCCATGTATGCAAAGATAGCTCAAAGCTTGAGGGAAGGGGATTTGCTTTAGTCTTCCGGGCCACATTAACGGAACTGATGGTAATCGACCACAAGGCCACAAAACTTATAAAGTGCCATTTGATATCCCAAACTGATGTCTACATCTTCACTGACAGCCATTCGGCAAGCAAATCCCTTACGAAGTAGTCAACAGCATCCGTGGTGCCAAAGCAAAAGATGATATGGTTTCCGCGGAATTGTAAACGTGATCAGTTGGCATGACTTTGCACCAAACTCCCTGTTGAGGATGGAAATTGCAAGCCAGTTATTTTCCAGAGGCTCACTAAAAAAGCTAACGACAGATGGCATTACGAAATCACCTCCAAAACTACAACAAAATTGTGAGCGGTGCTCTACGCTAAACGAACTGGCTTTCTACCGAGCTTAAATAAGCATAATATCAGTATGTTAGTAACTGTTATAACAGGACTCCGCATAATTGGTAATCATGCCTAACGACTACGTACGACGTACGATTACATGACTACTGCAAAAGCTGTCAAGTTGAAGAGGATTAGAAAACGACTATGCCCTTGTGGTGTCAGTGCCCTTGTCTATCCAGAGGAAGACGCTCTACTGTGGGTAGACAATTCTTGGATAACTTGGAAGACCTTCGATGCGTAGAAGTCAGGGATTTCTAAAATTCCTGCAAAGTTTAAATAGTTTTAGGAGGGATTGGGAGTTACTTACCCCACAGGCGCCTTAAGCATAAGCGTGTTACAGTCGACCGCGAAAACCTAACCTAACCCAAGGGGGACACGTTAGACGACCATTTAAAGACCGATAACTTTCTTTTTACACACAGAAGACCTAAGTGTATCATCTATCCACTTAGAAAAACATTACAAAGATGTCTCTTTCTCTCTCAAGCGGCCATTTCTTCCATATATTTACATATGTATCTCACGATCAAGCTTTTTCTCTGACTCTCTCTTACACATAACTACTTTGTCTTTGATTTAGGTATATCTAGTTATTTTCACACACGTGCACAGGAGTATCTCATTCTATTAACATACCCTCCTACTCTATTTCTTTAATCGCATTTTCCGTCTGCCATGTGCTACCTTTGCCTTATCTCCTAATTCACACTCGCATCCCTTAGCGACCGCGTAGATGGCAAACCTTTTAAGCCTTTCTCCAATTTGTCAGCATCACCGGCAGAGAAGCGATAACTCGTATGAGCATGGCCGCCATTTGCACCGCCTATGCCAGCGCTTACACTCAGCAAAGAGCGATTCGCATTCAAACTATTACGCTTGTTCACAACCGCCGCCTCCGTCGACGCGCTAACAACTGACGCACAACTGGCACGTGATGAACGCCTACTAGCCAAAAGTTCGAGATGTTCATCGGCTGCCCCTGTGCCACTGTATGCGTAATGTGTCACAGATGTTGTGGTTGTTCCGGCGGCAGCTGTGATTATTTTGCCGGGTGGGGAATCTTCGAGCGCCTCAGGCAGCCGCTTATAGTCGCCGCTGTGTGAACGATGTAGCTTCCAAGAGGAGCGCCTACTACTATTGTTACTTGGCGCATTGCTATTGCCACCGCTTACTGCTGTTGCTGCTCCTCCTCCTACAACTGCGCCTCCTGCTGTAGCTACTGCGCCACTGACTGGCCCATTATGTCCAAGTACGCCAGCTAGGTTGGGCGCCGGCGGACTGTTACTACTGTTCGAGTGTGTAGACGCATTGCTGGAGAGACTACTGTTACTGTTGCTGTGATGTTGGCTGTAACTGGAGTTATTTTGGTTTGAGTTACGCCGTGCCGAACGATGTGACGCTGTTGCAGCTGTTGGTCTTTCCGCTTCGCTAACCACACGCAAGTTCGTCGCTTGTTCACTTGCCGACGTTGTTACTGCCGTTGCTGTTATGATTGTCGTCGCATTTGTTGCAGTCGACATGTAGTGTTCGTAGCGTGCGGGCGGCGATTGTGGCGTGCGATGCTTTGATGTATTGGCGTGCTGCAGGCGTTCTTGCTGCTCCTCAATTGGCTGCAGAAGTGCTTCGGTGGAGCGACAGCAGTTGCTACTTTTGCTAACAGAATATTTCATGGACCAGCGGTAGTCATTGCAGTTCTCATCATCAATCGGCGCATATGACTTTCCATTGCAGCCATTGTCATTGTCACCTAGCAAGTGCTCCTTGGAGCTGGTAATCGAGCTGGGGCCTTCGGCGGGTGATATCACCTCCTCGATGGTATTCAGCGGGGATACTTGCAGCGTCTGCTGTTGTTGTAGCAATTCAATTTCAGTCTTTATCGCAGGATCAATGCCCAGTAGTCCGAGCACTAGCCGCGGATTGGCCAACACAAAACGCTCGAATACCGGAAAGTCTATTTTGTAGAAATCAGTTTGTGTAGCACGCGACATTTTCGGTACTTCTGGCGCCGCTGGCGAATTAGTCTTAGCGCTGCCACTAGCACTTATGCGTCCTTCCGCACCACACTCACCGGCGGTTACACTTCCTGACACCACTGCGCCACTGCCTAAAGGCAATTGCATTTCACGTCCCCATATCTCCGGCGGATGCGATGAGGAGCGTTGCAGCGACATATCATCACTGCTACTCGCCACGAAGCGCAGAGTGCTACCCACGCCCACAGCGTCGCTGCCATTGCCGCAGATGTTGGGTATAGAGCGCGCGGGTGGAAATTTCAAGCTTACCTGCGAGGCCATAGTCGAAAAAGTCATCTCTTGCAACGCCTGTATGGCGTTGCGTACTTCCAGACCCAGCTGTGCTACATCGTTATGCAGCGTCGACACCTGCGAATCTAAACGCTCCATCGAAGGTTTTTTCTTCAAGCTACGCACATCTTCATCACACTCTTCTGCATTCATATCTTCATCCATCGAACCCGTATCCAAACTGGATGTTATATTGAGCGAACGCTGGCGTTCCACACGCTCACGCAGTGTGATTAGTGAGCGACCGCGTGGATGAAGTTTTATCAAGCGTGGACTATTCATGCCCAACAGCGGCGAACGGCCATGTAAGGGTGATGGGGTGGCAATGCTGTGATGTGGTGAAACAGTCGCCGCCGAGGCAGCACCATTTTCATTTTCATCATCACCGCCATCGCCATCTTGCTGGTTCTCATCGTCCTCGCTGATGCTCGGCAGAGGAAAGGATGGTCCAATTTCGGAATCTTGAGACTCGTAGCCTTCGCGTAAATTGAAAGTGAGATCGTGTTGAATGTCGTTGGCGAATTGTTGTTGATATTCCGGATAGAGACGCAATACTTCGACCAAGCCGCCCATGTGAACACACTTGAGATCGCAGTAGGTGAGCGCCTAGGGGAAAGAAAAGTTGAAATAAAATTTCAAATAAATACATATGTATGTAATGGAATAAAAGTATTTGTTGTCAAGCAAAATTAATCGTATTTAAGGCTTAAATGCTAGAGCCTCTTAAATGGTGCTAACAATTACATATATACTCCTAAAAGTCTAAAAGAAAAGTTTAGTTACATTTCAAAACTTTTTTCAACTCACAAAGGTACGCTTTTGGTTCATTATGAAACCGCTGTTCTTAAATGCTTAATTAGTGTCGCAAATGAAACCAACTCACAACAATAATATATATAAAACGTGCGCGCACGCATTTACACCTTGTACAGACACACATTAATTACTTCCAACAATGCCGCGTTATTATACACTTAATTTAATATAAAACGGTTTGTGGTTTACTCTCCAACATTAATGTTCATTAGCCAGGAAATTAATGTTCATCATAAGCCATGGTGAACTTCCGGATCGCTGTTGCATTAAAAAGGTATATGTATGTATGTACTATGTAATTTTAATTTTAGTTTTAATTTTAATTTTTAATTTAATTTTAATTTTTTTATTTTTTATTTCATTTAAAATTTTCAGAATTCATTTCAAAAATGCACTATCTCAGCAGCTGATTCAAAAACGCCCTATCTCAGCACATTTCAATTCATTTTGAAGTGCCATAGGGCGTTCTTCAACCAAATTTTGAGATAGGGTGTTTTTCAATCAAATTCTGAAATAGGGCGTTCTTGAACAGTTTTTTGAGATAGGGCGTTTTCGAACTGGTTGCCGAGATAGATCGGTCTTCTACTCAGCAGTCGATATGTACTTACGTCATAAATTTTAATTCAAATGTTTTATTATTCTTTTCTTTTTTTTTTTTTGTTAATTTGAAAAGCATTTACATAGTTCTAAACCAAGTTGGACAAAAAATCAGCCACGCGGGTCCAAAAATGTTTTTTTTTTGTATACATTTTGCCCCCCTAGAAAGTCAGCTATTACTATGACTCTAACCGCACAAAGCAAACCGCCAAGGAAATGAGTAGTAATTTGGAATGAAAAGGATAAAACCAGCTATTGCCATATAAAAAGAGTCGAGGAAAGTAAAAAGATCTTATTGGAGTGATTTTCTTGTGCCGTCTCAGATACGGTCGAGATATCTAGATTTAGCATAATTTTAGTAGTCCTATAAAATCTTTGTAATAGTGAACCTCTTACGAGACGGAAGCTTATTTGGGCCAAACTTTACAGGACAATTCCCTAATGTGTCTATCATCTACACACAGACTTTGGTAAGAACAAGTAAAGAAGTATAAGTTCAAGCGAAACCGAACATTATATACCCTATTATATAAGTGCCCTCCTGTATAAAAATTGTTAATTCTGGCAACTATCTTGAAAGCTCTTTTCTGTCTATCGAAAGACTCATTGAAAGATCTGCTAATGAGGAGGTCTTTGTAGGTATGTGGGAATACATCGATGTATAAATAGACTATATATTTATTTATTTATTTATTTATTTATTTATTTAGTCTACAGAAAAATGTTTTCTTACAGACAGTTGAGATAAAAAGATTTAGAATATTTAAGTATGTGTGATACATTACAGAGTGAAATAATTATAAATATTAACTTGTAAAGATAACAATGATATTCAATAGCAATATGGGTAGCTGGCGAGGCCTTGTCTCCAGTCTACTTTTGTGTGCGGCGGGCGGAAAGACCTAGTTTCCGCTCCGCCCTGTTTACAGGCCGTTGATCATGGTCGGAAAGGCCGAGCTTCCGATCCATGTTCCCGTAGTCGTTACTTTGTAAGTGAGGCAGGCGGAAAGTCCTAGTTTCCGCTCCACGCTATAGACGAACTGTTGGGCGAGGTCGGAAAGGCCGAGTTTCCGATCCCTGCTCCTATTGTCCTACGCGGTCGCGGAAATATACGAAGCCGTTACAATTGTACTAAGCAGTCATAGATATTGTGTAATTTTTTCGTTCACGGTTGCAGATATTAGTTTATTTAGTTAACTTGTTGAGCAATGTTTTCTTTATTACAAAAAGCGATTCAGATATGTCGATGCAATCATAATGCTTGTTAAAATCTTGGCATAAGCACCGAAAAGCATCATGCATTTCAAAGTTTGATTTACAAATACTCAACACAATAGGTTTAAAATGTCTCGTAGGTCTTGTAGGAATACAAAAATTTATCTCACTCAGTAAAAAGGGACTACTGACCATCCCGTTCATTAATTTAATTAAAAAAAGAACACCAAGCATCTCTCTACGACTCTGAAGCGTCGGCAAATCTATAAGCTTCAGGCGATCCTTGTAGGGTGGGAGATTTTTAGACGAGTCCCAACATAAATTTTTGAGGGCAAATAACAGGAACTGTTTCTGCACTGATTCGAGCCTGTCACTATGAATTTGATAGCTAGGATACTATAGATGCATACTCCAAAATCGGTCTAACTAGAGAGGTAAAGAGAACTTTAGTGACATAAGGATCGTTGAACTCCTTGGCCCAGCGCTTAAGAAAAGCCAACAATCCTCTAGCCCTAATCGCGCAGGAGTTTATGTGAGACTTGAATTCTAGTTTCGGATCCATAGTTACACCTAGGTCAATGAAATTGGTCACTTGCTCAACATTGTGGTCAGATATCATATACGAATTTGGATAGAACGATTTTCTAGAGAAGGTCATGAATTTACACTTTTTCAAATTTAGTGACATGGAATTTGCTTCACACCATTCGAAAATGCAGGTTAGGTCAGCTTGCAAATGCTCCCTATCTTCTGCAGTACTAATGTACTTAAAGAGCTTAACATCATCAGCGTACATTAAGCATTTCGAGTAATTCAACACCTTAGGAAGGTCATTTATAAATAAAATAAACAAGACGGGACCAATATGGCTGCCCTGAGGTACGCCGGATGTGACATGTATGGGCCGGGAGGTACAATTTTTAAAAATTACTCTTTGTTTCCTATCCACTAAGTAAGAAGAAAGCCAGCTGAGAAGAATAGGAGGGAAGCCAATTCGATCAAGTTTATATATAAGGGTTGAATGAGATACCTTGTCAAATGCCTTGCTGAAATCAGTGTAAATCACGTCCGTTCGAAGATTGTTTTTAAACCCATTAGACACATAAGTAGTGAATTCAAGAAGATTGGATACAGTTGATTTACCTTTGCAAAAACCGTGTTGCGATAGATCAATAGCAGAAGTAATAGAGTGAGATAGTTCTTCCGTAACGATTGCCTCAAAAACTTTAGCAATAGCACAAAGCTTCGCAATTCCTCTATAGTTTACGATGTTAGTCCTACTTCCATTTTTATAAAGTGGCAAGATAAACGAATCCTTCCAGGAAGATGGGGAGACACCCTGTTTTAGGGAAGCATTAAAAATATTTGCCAGAGGCTTATACAAATACTCTGCACAACTTTTAAGAACACTTGTGGGTATACCGTCTGGGCCAGCTGTATATGAAATTTTCAAACAATTCAAATGAATGAGGACGTCCGCAGCAGATATCGATGGAATTCGGATACAATCAAATGATGGCAGATCGAATGGGTAGCTAGATAGATTCGAATTCAGTTGGGAAGATGTAGAACTGGCAGAGTAGTTTGACTCGAAGAAACCAGCAAACATATCGGCAATAATATTTTCGTCACTGGAAACTAAGTCATTTAACTTCAATGTTGAGGGATAACCGTTAGTCTTACGCTTAGTGTTCACAAATGCGTAAAACGATTTGGGATTAGAAACTATATTGAGTCGAACCCTGTTAATATAATTATTGTAACACTTTTTGTTCAATACATTGTATTTATGCCTAAGAATGGAGTACGCGGAGTAGTGAGAAGACAAGCCAGATTTTTTAAAAAGCTTAAATGCTTTGGATTTTTGATTTTTTAAGCGTTTCAATTCGCCAGTAAACCACTGAGCGTTAGACGTTACGTTAGCTTCCTTAACAAGAGGAATGATTTTACTGAAAATGTGGCGTAAGGAATTGCTAAAATGTAAGGCACTATCTTCAGCATTCCCATCATACTGGGGCCAAGTTATCTTCGATATCTCTAACCTAAGTTTATTATAATCTGCTGTTTTAAATGAGTAACGCTCCGCTCTTGATTTTTTACTGATAAAGCAACATGAGTTGCGTGAATTTATCAAGGACAATTCTAGTGGTGGGTGGTGAGAATCAACAGGGGTAATCAAAGCATAGCTAGGGGCTATTGTGACGTTGGAAACACCGTCCACAAAAACTAAATCCAGACATTTACCTAAGTTATTACTAACAGAGTTGATCTGGTAAAGACTAAGATCTGACAGATCGTTCAAAAATTGATTGAAGAGATCACGAGAGGAATTTGGTACTAGAATACCATCTATTAGATCCCAAGAAACACCCGCAAGATTGAAGTCACCCAAGACAATAACAGTATCGGAGGGCTTCACCATGGCATGTAGAGAGAGCAGTAAGGAGGAGTGTTTTAAATAAACAGAAAGGCTCGAGTTAGGTGGTATATAAGCAGCAACAAGATAAACGCTAATAGAATGATATCTTATTCGAACGCAGAGGAATTCAACTTCATCGGTGTCAGTGAACTCAATTTCTTCAGAAGAAAGGTCAGTCTGGACAGCGATTAAGACGCCTCCACCTTTTTTATTTAAACGGTCGTTTCGAAACACTTCATACTTAGGACACAAAATTTCCGAGTTGAACACATTCGGCTTGAGCCAGATTTCAGTAAACACCAGTACTTTGAAGTCAAAATCATAGGACTGCAAGTGTAACCTTGATAGCTTTGTGTTCAAACCTCTCACATTTTGGTAGTAAATGCTAATGGTGAGGTTACTTATTAGTTTTTTGATGCCGAGGTGGAAAGCGGAAGTTGAGCCAAATTTTGCCCTTGCGGTCTAGATCTAAATTCAAATTCGCGAATGAAGGCACCGCTTGGCCAAAAAGATGGGCTCATTACTCTATCAAAGCAGTCTTCGGATATGTCTATTTTAAAAGAAGAAATGCTTCTTTCATACGAGAATCTGAACTTGCGTACATGCAACTCATTTGCTATCAGCCTGGAAGTTAAATACCCCTTCACATCATCGACAGTGGTATCTTTTGAAAACCTAGATATAAAGACCGATTTTTTGGAAGGGACAACGATTAAATCCCTCGGGACGGGGTTAACGCAATCGGAAACGGTTTCAGATGTGGTAGGGGGTTGCGGAACAGGGGGTTGCGGAACAGCTGTCAACTTTTTGGATGGAGCAACGATGGCTTCGGATGTGGTAGGGGGTTGAGATGTAGTTGTGGAGTTTTTGGAAGGAGCAGCGACTACTTGCATTGGAACGGTGTTGACGCAATCGGAGATGGCTTCAGATGTGGTGGAGGGTTGAGATGAAGCTGTTGAACAGGAATTTAGTGAGGCTCCAGTAGAAGAAGGACGTGGTTGGGGAGATTCAGTCCGCCGAGGAATCGGTGTGTTAAAGCTTATGAGTTCTTTGTTCATAGCTGGAGTCAAAAGTGGGCGGTTCTGCGGAAGATCCAGGTCCACAGTGATGGGATTCAACACAATATTTTCCACGCCTCTCCTACGTCTCTTAAGACCTTTTCCAGGAGAAGGAGAGGAGGAGGAAGTATCTAATAATTTAAATTCTTTGAATTCATCCTCATACTTCTTGAACTTCTCGTTGAGCAGTTTTAGCTCTTTGCTTATCTCCGAAAATCCATTTCTAGCGGTTCTAAATAGTTTACAGAGATCCACAACAGTTTTTTTACACTTTGGGCATGACGAATACGTACTTAATATTTATTTATAAATTATCAAATTTACTCACCTTCACGTCGCTACTGCTCCGCACCACTGCATCCTGTCCAGCGCTGTTTGTTGTCGCTGTCATTTGGCCGTTGGATGTGGCCACTAAATGAACATTGATATCAGAGCCCACCAAATCACCTTTACCTGCAAGCGATATATGTAAATGGAACACAGCACATGGCATGGTAAATATTATTATTATTTTTTTTTTTTAACTATTACTTCAAGCAAGAAAAATACATGAAATTTGTACTTATATAGTACTTTGTAATTAATATGGTGACATAAATTAAAATAAAACTAAAATTTATGCTTTGGTTTTTAATTTGTCTTACTGTGTGGGATTCGGATATCAATTTCACGTACTTATATATTCATAATAAGCTATCTCCCTTTTTTTATTTATACGCACTTAATTTGCATTGCCATTTTTCTTCTCTCCTATCACTCACCCAAACACTAACATATGTGTAAGCGCCAGTCTATTATATTACATTATTATTATCACTCACCCAAAATAGCCACAACCATATCATCCTTGATGACCTCCATCGAACCATTACAAAGATAGTAAATGTAGTTCAGCGCATCTCCTTTGTGGATTAAAAATTCGCCCGGTGCACAGAAGTTTGTTTTAATGTGCAGTGACAGCAGTTTCAGGCAACCCTGTAAAATAAGAAAAAAATTGTGTCAGTGAAAATAGGTCAAGTTAAATTTATTACAACCACACGAGTTTATATTTATTTTTTTGGATATACGCACAAGGAGGAAATTTTCTCGCTACTGAAGTAAAGCATTTTATTTTTATGATTACTGCTAAGGTTTAGAGAGATTTTCCTAAAAATTCCTTCAAATAAATTATGATCTAATATTCCTGCAAATAACAGTTCTCAATACACGAAGCTTGAAGTCAAAGCATTGAAATATACAAGAGTGTCCCCAAGATTGTATCCCACCAAAAAGGATTAAGTTTAATATTTATTAGTTTTTTGAGTTTTACTTTTTACTTGGAAAGTTAAACTTAATTTCTTCAAGCAAATGCACACAAATGCCCCAGTCCTGAAAGTAGTGAACACGGTATAAGCTAATGATATCAGAGCCATTTCAAAATGGAATCATTTGGCACAAAAGGGAAATTATTGCCGAACTTGATTTTTACGCCACGGAGAATGAGCGGCTGCGTGATGATGAATATGAATATGAAGCTGTATGTTGCCCACATTGTTGTCGTCTGCTTATGTGTCTCCAACTTCGACTACGTATTCGACTTCGACTTCGTCTCCGTATTCGTTTTCGTTTTCGTCCTCGTGTTCGTACTCGTGTTAATTTGCGAATCGGTTATAATCTTCGTGTTCATATTTTCTTTCGAGGTCGTTTTCTTATTCGTTTTTACCTTCGTCTCCGTGTCTTTGTATTTGTCATCGTGTTCATATTCGTTTGCATCATCGTCTTATTACCCGTCTCCTTGTTCGTTCTCGTATTCGTCTCCATGTTCGTATTGGCATTCGTGATCGTTATCGTGGCCATGTTCGTATTCGTATTTGTGTTTATATTTGTTTTCGTTTTCGTCCTCGTCTTCTTTGTGGTAAAGATAGAAGCCCATCGTTACGCCTCTTTGCACTCTTTTATCTATTTTATTTTTCACAAAAAAATAGGGCGGGTATCGTTTTACTAGAATTTACGGGATCTCCACTCCCTGTATATGAGCAAATCTAATGAGTTGTTTTTTAGTGTCATTTCCTTCTCACGTTTTTTATTTTTTAATAAGTTTGGGAAGTTTTTAAATAAAATATTCGTTTTAGAGGCAATGGACATTGACATCAAATACAACATATCTGTGAAGTTTCAAGAGTGTGCCACCAAATAAAAAAAGAATGGCAGCATGCAGAGTATCTGTCGCAGCTATTTTGTAATTTTTGAAATTTTATGATTTTTTTTTAATTTCAATCATTTGAGATAGTTAAAAATGTTACAATTAAACGGAAGGCGTGCGAGTAAACGTTATATAAGCACGAGTGGTTATTTTTACATTTTTTTCTAGCTTTCTAGGTTTTCATTTAAATATAATTTCGCGATGGAATCTTATTTCTTATACAAAACTGAAGATAGTGCATCTTTCGATTTAATTGGCATAACTAAGAACAGTTTCACTTCTCCAATTACTTCATCATGTTGTTTAAGAGCATAATCTACATATTTACTTAGAAAAGAAATGAAGGAAGGATGCTTTGTGAAGTGCCCCTTATTGCCGGCTTCATAATGATGGAGACCTTAGAATGATGCGACAGTTCTTTCATAGAACATTTGGTAGATAAACCTAACTAAGTACATCAGTTTCGACCACAAGCCTATCTATGTCTATATTTGTCAGCAAAACTCTTCTTTAAGTACAAATATTAGCAAATTATATGCGAATATTTTACTGCAGCACAAAAATGGAAATAGCAAAATCTTGCAAAGAAAGAGAAAAGCTGAATAACAATAGTACCTATATCATAAAATTGTTGCACATAAATTAATAATATTTTTGTAAGCGCACGAAATTCTTTGGAAGTATTTTCACTTGTCAGCAGCAAATAATGTAAGCATCTCTCTACATGTGATGACGCAGACGAGTTACTATTTTCATGACAATGCTCCATACGCATTTCGTTTGCTTAAACTCGACTTTGTGCTTTAATGTCAACGTTTTTAGCAACTATTTTTTTCTTGCATTCGTCATTGCTTTACACATCCAGCCCTCCCACTAGCGTCAATCCTTTAAGTCGCTAGTTATGTATGTATACTAGGGCAGGTCGATTTGTAGGGGCCCAAAAAAATTAACAGAGGCACATCGCGATTTTGATTATTTGGGTCATTTCAAGCATTTTTGCCCAAGAAACCATAGATCTAAAATGAATTTCGAGCCAGTGATTTTTTCTATCTAGTTTTTTTTTTTCAAAAAGTGACTCACGTGTTGAAACAGCTATCGCGAAAATCCACGAAATTTTACTTTATCATAATACAACTTCAATTTTCAAATAGCCTAAAATGTTCAGCGTCGAAAATTTTTATTTTTTTTTATTTCTATTTATTTATTTTTATTTTACATATTAAACACAGTATGAAAATGAAAAAGCACAGTATGAAAATGAAAAAAGCATGGTGTCACACATGTCATTTGTCATACAATATGTCGATAAATAGTACTACCAATATAATATTAAAACAAAATACGTTATACGTGTTTAAAAATTGAAACATTAGAAATTGTTTATATTTTTTTTTTTTGTTTTTATCTTTTAAGTTGCATATTTTTATTGAAAAAATAAGAAAAAATTTGTTTTGTAAAATCCAAAGAACAAATGAAAAGAACCTCCCTTCCCTGAATATTTGAGGCTATTTAAAATTGAAATTTCATTATGAAGAAAAAGTCAAATTTCGTGGCTTTTCGCAAAAAAGGCGTCGATTTTCGGAAAAAAGGCGTTTAAATCAAAAAAAAATAAATAAACGTAAGCGCCCTCTGGCGGCCCTCAAAAGAAAAAATTAATGCCAGAAATGGATTCTTCGACCACAAAAACCCCCAGATACACATTTTGGCTAGTTTTCAATAGGTACGCCACTTTTTGAAAAAAAAACTAGATATTAAAAATCACTGGCTCGAAATTCATTTTAGACCTATGGTTTCTTGGGAAAAAAATGCTTGAAATGACCCAAATAAGCATAATCGCGATGCGCCTTTGATGCGAAAAATTTGACCCCCCCCTTCTAATATTATACATATGTACTTGCATTGCACGCATTTGTTGCACATTTTTGTGATGCTCAACTGCCAGAGCTTAAGATGCTTACCTTTTTACGCAAATTACACGCTTGAATTGTTGCACTACCTCGCCACCTCCATTCCCTATGGTAGATCTGCAAATCACACCTACATACTTGTACATACGAGGAAGTAACTATGTATGCATTCTTTTGTTTGTTGCCATTTGACTTTTTGCTGCAATGAATCAACTGCTTGGTAATGTTTCTTCCAAGTACTTCTGCACTTGTGCGAATCAGCATGGCGTTTTGTGTGTTTATTTTATTTCTTAGTTGCACTCGAGAGTGTTTTTTTGTTTATTTCTTTTCTAGCTTAAGAGTAATGTACATGTCCTTGTTAAAAGTTTTGCTATGCGCTTGACTTGAAAACTCAAGAGAAAAACACTTTTCGTAAGTTTGAAAGTATTTTGCTTTGAAGACAGATTTTAGGTTATACATACATACCTATTATTAGGGTAGTAAGATTCAAAAAAAGACAAACACTGATACATGTGTGCATTTGTATGGGAACTTTTTTTTACGATGCAGGTATGGCATGCGAGTATTCTACGTGAAGTTCCAAGTAAATTTTCCGGAAAAGCATGGTCTAGAATTCAATTTCTAGTTGTCTAGTGCCTTAGCCAGTGCACTGACAATGGCCAACATTGGATTTTTTTGGCATAAATGCAAGAATTTTATAGCAATATATGCCTGATATCAGTTATTTTTATAAAAGTACATATATCAACTAAGAAAATTTCCAAATAACACGGATTTGTCAACATTTTTTTAATAGAGATATTATCTTTAGGCCTGAGAATTTCTATAAGGTTGCCATCTATCTAAAAAATTATAAGATGCGCGGAGTTCGTTAAATGACAGAAAATGAGGTGCAAATGAAGGTGCTTGGCCTCTAGATGTCCAATAATATACTATTTTTTAATAGGGCTGCCACCACATTTTAAAAAGTATAATATGTTCTCAGCAAAAAGCTTTTATTTTTTAGTGGTGTTGCCATCTTTTTAAAAGCTACTACCTTACATGCATATACATATGCATTTTTTGTTAATGAAATCAGATTTGCTCAGTTAATTCAATTAAAAAAAATGAGGTGTCAAGACGTGCCTATAGATGTGCAATGAATTTTTATTTTTTCGTAAGGGCTACCACCTATTTGAAAACTCAAAACGAATGAGTGCTAAGAAGTCTTTGGATTGAATATTTAAGCTATTTTTGAGGTGTTTGAAAGAGATTGGTATCAATCGAAAAACGTTTGAAAGGCTTTATTCAGAGCTATATTTAGTAGAGTTGCCATACGTTAAAAAAAAATCAAATTCAACTTGAATTGTGGCAATTAGATAATTGAAATATGTATCACAATATGGGTGCCAGACTAAAGGGGTTTGAGCAAGTTTTAAAAAAGTTTTGAAAAAGGTTATCATTCAAAAGCAAAAAGTCATGTAAAAGTCATGTCTGGACGCAGTGTTGCCAGAGAAAGACCCCTAAAGTCTTAATTTTTTACAAAAAAACCTCCAAATAAGATTTTAAAGCTAAACGAAAATTTTTCGGTCCCAAGAAATCTTGATTTAAAAATACCTCCAAAGAAACACGTAATTATAGATTGATTTTACGGCTGCAATTTCAGCAAGTTTTGGCTATTCTTATTTTGTTCATTTAATTTTCATTTCCTTTTTATGAAAACATATCTCGTATTCATAACGATTTATGTCCAAACAGCAATCTTTGTACAAAAGTTAAGAAAATTCGACAAAGTGTCATAATAATTGCAAGCTTTTTAATTAGACTTTTAGAAAGATTTTGATTATGCAGTTTTTTAGGCCTTGCAATTTTAGTGGTCCAAGTTAAAAGTAGCTAGGACTTTATTTATTTTCTCCATACGACAAAAAAGTCCGTGAAAATTTGCCAAAAATCAACGGCACAATTTATTGGTCCACTGGTTAATGCTTAACGCTTTCTGCTTTTCTTTAGGCCGCTGCGGACATAAAAAGTTTAATTTAACATGTTAATGCGTGCAAATAATTCGTGTTACTTAAATCGTTTCATTTTGATACGGACGTATAAACGCACCATTAAAACGCACCGAGACATTTTATCGTGTCGCCTTTATACGCATTTGAAATCCGAGTTAAGGCCATCTGAACAGTGTTAAATGTCCGCATATAAACGATCTACTTCAAAGCGTTTTTAAGTCGCTGTTTTTTCATATTTTTTGTATAATATTTGTTCTTTTCCTCCACTTTCTAACTCTTCACTAGAGTATATATACATACTATGTTTTTCTGTGCGAGAGAAGAAGGCAGATAATAGTGAAGGGTATTCATTTGCTGGTTACCATAATGTAACAAGGATAACATTGAAATGTTAGCAATTTTAACTAAAACTTTAAAAATCGTACATCATGCACAAAAATCTTCATTTTTAATATGTTTTCAGTGTAAAATTTTGCTTTTTAAAAAATCTTTTTTTGCCGACTTTTAATAAAAAATTGAAAAAATATATCTGGACGTTCACTTAAGTTGTCGCCGTTAAGTTAAGCCATAAATTGCATTATCCATTTTGGCTACTGGCTACCACTGAAATAGTGGCTCGTTCAGAAGAATGATAAAGAAATTGGTTGACATTTCTTTGGAAATACTAATGATGGGAAACGCTTACAGTAGAAACTTTGCCAGAAAGTTTTCAAAAATCTCACAGTGGCTTTAAGATAAAACTGCGTGGATGTCAACTTGATAATAAGGCCCAGCGTCATTTTTCAGACTATGGGCTGTTGATATGCACTGAAGGTTTCACATTTTCATATGAAAAACTGTTGACATATTCGTTAAAACATATTCGTCTAAGGCTCTATCTGTCAAAAATTACTTTCCGTTGAAATTTATCTTCATTTCCGATACTTCCGATTTCGGATGTTCTAAGAAAGAAGTAAGTCCAGGAATATATACCCTATATCACGAAATCCCTTTTATGTGCCTTTATAAAAAAAACTCGAGCACTTCTTTAAGCGACTATGATAAAATAAATCGTGTCTAAGTAAAAAACAAACTTATTTTCACAATTTGGCAAGCTCGGTTTCTTACGCAAATTTATTTAAAATGCGGCGCAGAATACTCTTTGCCATTTCCGCATAGGCAAAAAAATTTGCCCACGTTAATGAGCATACATACTTATGTAGTACATACATAAAGTAACCAAAAAGCTGTACGTATAATTTGAAGAAACTCTTTTTTAAAAACAAAAAGTATTGAAATTGGCTATAGCTACTGAAAAGCTTAACTTTGTCAATATTTATATTTCTGCCTTTTCATCATCTTCTTCTCCTTATTTGGCACCAAAACTGTTAGTCGGTTTGGACCGAGACCAAAATACTTTAATTGAAAGATGTGTTTTTTCCGTGTTTCCTTAACAGGCGCTTAGCAGAATGGATGCGTGTTGGACTGAAGGCTTGTTGGCCATGGGTTGAAACCCTGACCTTAAAATCATTTTATCTACAAATTCTAATTTGAAATTTGGTGAGTACTTGCTCAAAATAAACCTAGTAAAACTAAAGAATTGACGAATGATTGACTTGACAATAACCATTTCTGATAATTCTTGCATCTTCTAAATTTTACCCTCAATTTTGTGTTTGCGGCCACGCTGCTGGTATTTTTTGGAATTGTTGAACAAACTTTATATTTTCATTTCATTTTCCCATTACTTAAATGGTACTTAATGGCCACTTTTTTCCAATACTTTTAGGTACATACATGTCATTTCACGCCACATGCGCTCCGCTCCATCATGCCCACATCACTGCCTTTTCATGCTTAACATATTTCGAGCTTGTTTTACATCTCGCGTAACCTTGTAAGAATTCTAAGAATTTTTTATTATTTATTCATCTGTCTGTCTCAGCCCAGTATACTGCACATACATACATACAATAGGTAAGCCTTATGCAAAACACTTCATGTCGCCTACATTTCATCCCCCTTCCCCTTTTCCAATTTTCAATCCATTACTTTTTGTGCACAAAATGGTTCAAAAGGAAAACATATGTATGTATGTACGTTTTTCCATGGAAATTGCTTACTAATCGCAATGCAATAACGTTTCGTATCGATTTTCAAATTTCGCTTTAAATTACCTGTGAGGCTGCTTCGAATATTGGCAATTGCAGGATCTCGCGATGTAAATGCATAGACACATCGCCGCGCAGTTCCTCGGGAAATTCGCGCAGCGTCTGAAATTATAGCAACAAAAGTGAGATATACATACATGCATACATATTCACATTCGTAGTAAGGATGGCAAACAAATAAATAAAATATAAAATTGAAATAATCAGTCGGCCTTTTTTCTTTGCAGATATTTTTCAAAATGTGTGAGTATATGCTAGAATGATTGTATGTGTGTATGTACGAAATTTCGTTAAGGTAAAATATATTTAAGTGGGGCATATACAAGTGGGTTAAAAACTAGCTTAAGTGTTGCTTCTGCCCTCCCCATGCTGCATTTTTACACCTAACTTATGTGGCATTACACACATCGTATGCCCACCTGTTCGTCATGTTGTCCGTTGTTTTTAAGCAATTTTTTCAAATATTCCTTTTTTCAGTTTTTTTTTTTTATACATAAATGGAGATAGATTAAATTGTTTTGTGGATTTGATGTGAGAATTTTGGCCACATTTTATTGGCTTCTACAAAATAGTATTTTTGGACTTCTACATACATTTTGTAATTTAAATTCGTATACTTGACAGTTTATGTATAGAAATCATAAAATATCAATTACATTTAAAGCAATACCATTTTACTCACTAAATTAAAGAAGAAAATAAAAAAGAGATAAATAAAACAAGTAATTTGTAAGCAAAAAACCAAAACCGACTTCAATTCTCATACAAAAATTTTAGGGTACCGTTAATTTCTTCATAATCTAATGATCGGATCTAAACCAAAATTGGTAAGTGACCACCTCTGAGGTACCAACTTTCCTTTATAAAAAAAGTATTATACAAATCGGTGAACGTGGTTCACGGTTATGCGGTAGCATGCACACAAAACAAATATATTCCTATGAATTGATAGGTTTTGAAGTAGGTTAACGATTCCTTAAATTAGTAAATATTTAATTATTCTGTGACAACCTTGCCAATTGAGTAAGTAAGGAAATGGCATACTTTATGCATATTTGTGAAAAAAGTGGGCCGTATTTCTAATATTAAAGGAAAGTAGTGTACTGTGGTATAGGCGTTTATTTCCTAAATAATTTGCTATGCAGGAAAACATTTTACGTAAAAAGGTGAATTATTGAAATAAATCGGTTTAGTTAATCATTTATGTATGTCCCGAAATTCCGTTTAAATGCAATTGTTTGCTTAATTCAACTTCATAGCATAAAATGGCTCTGGAAGTGTTTTCGGAATTACAACAAACTGATTTCATAGAATTGGTCGAGCAAGCTGACTCAATAGTTCGATATGTGAAATTTAGTGAACCAAATTGCGATAACTAAAATTTGGCGGCTTCGTAAAATTTCGCTTTATTGGCTTCTGTTGCAACTAACCAGATTTCTGCTAATTGGAAATCTGGGTTAATTGCAACTAAATGACCGTAAAAATGGTGAAATAGGTGAAGCTTAGGAATGCTTAACTTTCCTATGAATGCCTTCTCAGGTGTGTGTGTGTGTGTGTGTTTTACTTCTTTTTATTTGTCCCGTATGCATAATTCTCCTAATTGGATGAAATTTTATCACAAAAGGAAAGCCTTAATTTACCTTCCATTCAACAAATGTAAGTACATACATATGTACATATCATTTTGCGATTGCTATCAATTTAACTTTATTTGTTCAAAACCTTTTAAAAAATCAAATTTGTGTTTATCGCGAAACGTTACACACATCAATGGAAATAAAAGCGCAAATGCTCATGCATATGCAATTAAATCAACATAGCTACACACACGTTTATCAGTAAATATATGTATGTATAGAAAGCTGCGAACAAATTTATGTGCAGAATAAAATTTAAAAAAATGCGCGCTTTGGGCTTTGTTATTTTATTTTTCCTGTTATAATTTCTGATATCAAATTCTTTTATGAATCGATACGATTGTCAAATTCCATACAGGCGCTTCCTTTCAAATGCATGCAAACAAAGTAAAATACATCAAATAACCAAAGCAACAAAGAATGTAACGAAATATTAGTTCAAAAGTGCAGAATGCGCTGAGAAAAGACAACGAAAATAACAAAAATTTTGCTATAGCAGCGCATAAAGTGTATGCTTGTAACAGCTGACATATCCTTATACATACATATATGCACATATGTATATTAGGGTGCATCGTTCTCCATAAAAAATAAAAATATTTTCTGTTTTTCCATGGGAATTAAATAGATACTTTATTATTCTAAGACTTGCGCCAAAAATTTTCAGAAAAATATTAGGATTCATATTATGTGGCACGACTTGAAAATGCCAATCCAAAAATTAAGTTTTTTATATACACACAAATAAAACTAGTTGCTAAGAATGGTTTTCTCCAAGAATTACCTCAGAATATAGAAGAGATTCAGCTTAAAAGGTCAACATAAAAATATAAAAAAAAAAATTATCAACGGAATCAAAATAATGACATTTTTGAGGTACTTTAAAATCGGTTCAGCTCACGTAAATCCAATTTTTTTTTCGAACTAGTTTGGCGAAAGTCTTAAAATAAAAAAGTGCGATTGGTGAAACGTGTCATTTTTGGCGGACTTTCAACGTTGCTAACAAAATTCTATGAACGACCAGCGCAAACTCCGGGTTGTAAATGTAAAATTTTTTGTCAAAATAACGCGCATAAGTGAAAAAAAAAAAATAAAAAATTTTTACAATTATATTTCGAAGCAGTCTGAACTTATAACTATTTGACTTTAACTTTGCAATGTTTGCCAGCTCAAATAATATGGCGGAGTCACAAGAAATTTTTGATACAAAAATAATCAGCTGTGTCGCAATGCAGCGACTTTTGGAACAAACAACCATTTTGCAATGTTTTATGCATTCCACTAAAACATTTTATAATTTCGATGGAAAAACAGCAACTTAGTTGGTGTGGCATCCTAGTCATTGTACATATGAATGTACAGAGCACGTATGTATATTGTTAACAGGAAAAAGACGATTGCGATATAAAAAGATATCAGTATAAGACTATTCCACTGTAACAGCAGCAAACAATGAATGCCAGATTATTTCGTGTTTTTTTTTTTATTCGTGCTCATAAAGAATTTAATTCACAACATCGATACGGAGAATTATCATCAAGTTGCTTCCAACCATAAATATACCTATGCATACATATCTGTAAATATATACTTCGTTGAAAAGACATTACTACTAGTTTGAGACAACGAATGTGTTACCTGCCAAAAAAAAAGCATAGAGTGCATATGAAATTTTCTCACAAAATTCGTGAGATTGCTATGTGTGGAACATTGTTGCGTATACGACGTGGCAGTTAAATGCTGAATGCAGCTACGTTATATGACGAGCGCAATATCGAACACTGGCAGCGGCGAATTCAAAGCTATAAAATTGTTTAGTTTTGTGAGAGACTTAAATTAGTGCGTGAATCCTAAGGTGCCATCAAAATTTTCTAAGATATTTTCACGTTTGCGCTCATATTCTTACACCGCACAATATTTGAGTGTTTCGTTTTAAACGGTTAGCGAGCATTTTTACAATGGCTAGGGCTATAATGTTTGTATTAGAAACTTTCTAATACAGGGCAGTAGTTGAGAGATTTTGAAGTGAAACTTCTTTATCGCCGGGGGGTTGGTTGGTTGGGAATAAATTGGCAAATTCAACGGAAATTGCACACGGAAGTTGGTTGGAGCTGAAAGAAGTGCTTATTGAGTGTTTGCACAACGGTATTAATTTAAAATGTATGTAGATGAAGAAAATGATAAATGTAAAGAAAAAGATAAGGAGGAGGATACCGATGAAAGTAAAGATGAAGATAGAGGAAGAATGATTAAAATAAAGGTAATTATAGAGAAAAGGATATAGATAGAGGTACAGATATTCAATCTGGGAATTATTTTGGGATTTTAGAGATTTTCGGGATTCGCGGGACTTATTGATATAAAAATCGATATTTTGATCGGTTTTGTTATCGATATTTTTATCGATTTTTATCGATATTGTTATCGATTTTTCTGTCGATATTTGCGGAAATTATCGATATAATAATCGATAATTTACTAGACTTTGTTATCGATTATTTTATCAGATTTGCAATCGATATTTTTAATGATTTTATTTTCGATATTGTTATCGAATTTGTTATCGATTTTCCTATCGATGTTTTCATTGAATTTTTTGCCGATAGTTTTATCGATTTTGTTATCCTTTATTTATTGATTTTGTTATAGATTATCTGTCAATCTAGATAGAAAAAAGACAAGAGTGTAGCCCAGGCGCACTGCTTTTTATATAAGTATATATTCCTTCCTTGTTCACCCTGGAATTGAAATCGCTAATTAAGATTTTTATATAGTGACCGGAGCAGCGCTCGTATGTGCTCTCCAAGTGCTCAGAAAAGAGATCGGGGTGTAAGCGCAAATGAGTCAGATTTTGAAAAACATAGCTTTGTAGCGGATTGTGGCTAGACGCTCGTACACCTGACCGAACAACGGAACCGGGGCGGAATCCAACACCGAATACATGTTTGTGTAGCGAGCCACAACTACTGGTGAACAGACGCTGCAGACTTCAGGGAGCCCTTAAACCTTAAACCGACTAAGTCAGAGTGGCCCCACTAAGCTGAGGGCTTTGCAGCCAAGGTCTGAACACGCTTCGTAAAAATTTTCTGTCAACACTATGGACCTTGAACTAAGTAAGTGCCGTGATCATCCCATTTTGATTGAAAACTGATGCTTTGGAAAACAACAAATCACAGCAACCGAAATTAAAGAATTTTCCCACTTTTTTCACATAAAATTATAAAATCACCGCATTATTTTCCAACTTGAAGCGCTAAAAAAACGGATCAACATTCTCTTAACCAGAAAAAAATAAAATACTTTAACAACAAAATTTTAGATACCACAAAAACATGTTGATAACAACATCATATCGACTTCATCGCAGCCATATAAATAACAAAATATCCACTTCACCCTTTCTACTCTTGTTATAATATAAGTTACTTGATTCAACAACCAATGACCCAGTTAATTTGGTGGAAAATATTGCTACTGTTACATTTTTGTATTCAGTGTTTCCCCAAACTTGTTAATTTCCGTCGCTTGTTGCTTGCATAACAACTGTGTATATATTGTATATATTAGCATACATTCACTAAAGTGTATGAGCGAAAAGTAGATACATACATATCTTCTTTCATAACAATGAGAGCAAAGCCTTAAAAAGGATATGATGCTGTGCGATGGGAGAATGGGAAAAATCAAAATACGTAGATGGAAATTTATGTTAATAAATGTGTTTTTGAATGTGTTAGTGATGTGTATTTGACGACAAAATGGAGTGGCAGTGATTGTTATAACTAAATTAATTTATTGCTGTACTTCATACTCTTGTATCCAATGAAGCAAGCTATTTTGTCATTCCATGTATATAAAAGAGGAAATTGGGAAAAATTTTAAAATACCACATCTCAATAGTCTTTCGAAAGTTATTAAAAAGATGAAATGAAGTTGTAATTTTTGTCTATGGAAACTTTAGCTTCATATGTATGCAGGGTCAGTCATAACTACGTACAAATATTTGGCACACGTATTCTGGGACTTATTTACTGAGCTAGGGCCAGTTTAAGATAAATCGGTTAAGTCATTGAAATCATCAATTTTTGGCTAATTTTTAAGCTAATATCTATACGTAAAAACCTTGTATATGATGAGCTGGAATTTCCCATTATTCTAATATAAATTTTAAAATAAGCCATAACGGTTTCAGTGCGGTACTCAGTAGATTATCTCATAATTTTTCGGAATCTCTTTAAGCATTTTATTATTACGAGTTACTTCAATTTAAACATCCGCTATTTGCCATAAAGCTCGTACTTTAGGATGTTGTTCGAGAGTGAGAATAACAACAACAGCTACACAAAATCACCAACAATCGGTTCATCGCTTATTAGAAGAGAGTGAGCCGAGATTCATTCATCTAAATGTTTTGGTATCATCGGTGTCTTAGATAAAGTGCTTGGCTAATTACAACAAAGAATTACTCATGTATTTCAAGATCTGTCAATCTGAAGGCACTCAGCCTTTCTTTACATAGAAGAATGAAAGCTTGTTTTGTTGTAAATTGAGGCCATTTCCAGCAGCTAATTTTGGATAATAAATTCTTAAACTTTGGAACAAAAAACGTTTTTATATTTATTCATGCAAAAATTGACTGTTGCCGCACTAAAATCATAATGGATGGTTTCAAAATTTATTTAAAATTTGTGGGGAATTCTAAGCCTCTCAAGCACAATATTTGTACGTAAAAGTATCAGCCTGAAATTAGCTAAAAATCAATTTTCAGCTGGCCGTTACTCAGTAAATAAGCCCCGAGGAGAAAAATGTTCCCTAATATATTTTTTTTGCTTTGGCCCCCTCTATAATTACTTTACATCAGTCACAAAGACCTGTCCCTCCAGTCACCACTTCAAAAATTTTTTAATATTTCTATGAAAATTACATCAGGCTAAGTTTTATTGAAACAAAAGCATAAAGTTCTTACAAAACATTATAATACAAAAACATCCTTCTTGAAAATTAAATGCTTTGGCAAAAATTCATTTTTAAGGGCACAAACGTAAAATGGAGTTGTTTTCAATATCCCACCATTCAAATATATTCAAGTGATAGTTACATAGAGCGAGAGAGGAAATCGGTTGGTATTTTGTTAAAGGAATTTTATACAGTCGTTGTATAGTAAAAAAATATCTTTCGCTGTTGTATGTATACGACGACATATCAATGGCTGGGTGGCAGCCAGTTCGAAGATGCCCTATCTCAGAAAATTTTTCAACAACGCTCTATTTCAGAATTTGGTTGAAGAACGCCCTATTTTATAATTTGATTGAAAAATGCCCTATCTCAGAATTCCCTATCTCAGCGCATTTTCATTGTATTTTTGTTTGAGATACGGCGTTCTTCAGCCAAGTTCCCTAATAGGGCATTTTTCAATAAAGTTCTGAAATAGGGCGTTCACCAAACAAATTCTGAAGTAGGGCGTTCTTGAAAAGCTTTCTGGGATAGGGCGTTTTCGAACTGGCTGCCGAAATAAGTCGTTCTTCCACTAAGCCACCGGTATGTAGAAATAACTCAGAACTGATCACATTCTGGAGTAAAATGTCCCACCAGTCACAATGAAATGGCTCTATTACAAAGTTGCTAGAGAACAAATAAGACAAGCAAACTTCGCTCTTTTATAAAAATTTTTAAGCATTTCTTCAAGGTTCATTAAAAGTTACGTAAGATTTCCATCTAATATTTTTTTTTTAAATGAAATTAAATTAAATTTAGATTTTATTTTTTTTCTGCATTTATATACGTACGAGTATGCAGTACTATTAATCTCTTATTTGTTTTGAGCATATTTCTTCGATTGCGCGCACCCAGTTTTATATGTAAATGAATATGCAATTTCGGAAAGGGCACAGTTACAACTTTTAATAAAAAAATCACTCATTAACAACTATTTTTTAAATTTTATTTAAGTACTCCCTAAATAACATTTTTTTCTGATTTTTATTATATAAATCCAAAATAACAATTATTTTTGTTTTTTATCTAAAAATCTGCAAATAACTGTTATTTTCGATTTTCAAATTATATACCATAGAAAACTGTTACTCAAGACTTTCATTTATAAAGTCATCAATACTAATCAGTCATTGACTTTTATTTTTAAAATCATACTTATTAAAGTCATTTGTATAAGTCGTAGTCAATTTTGGTTCTCCAACACCTTCTTAGCTGCGAAAAATGATAATGACTTTTATACGCATGATTTAAAAATTAAAGTCGGTGGTTGATTTTTATTGATGACTTTTATAAATAAAAGTCTTCAATAACTGTCATCTAAGACATATAATATAAAAATCAGAAATAACTGATATCTACAGATTATTTATATAACAATCAAAAATAATTGTTATTTTGGATATCAAAAATAATTATAATTTTTTTTTTTTAATTTTGCATAAAAATTTATTTTCAAATTTGATTCGCAGTGAAAAAAAAATTTATTGTTATGTATCACTTAGTTGCAGAAAATTTCCTTCGTAGTGAATTTTTCAAAGACAGTTTTCATCAATAACTGATATGTTCGGTCCCTGCTGAGTATTAAAACTTTTCGAAAAGTAAAAAGAGCTAATTGTTTTCTAAAGAAGTATAATATTTGGAAAAAAATGTTTGCAAGTCTCAAGTTTTGAAATAACAAAAAAAAAACGCCGAAGCATGTAAACTTAAAATTCAGTCTTAGATTATTGATCTGTATACCGTTTTATGAAAAATAACTCAAACTTTAAAAAGGAAAAATAAAAAAAAATTAAATCTCTTGAATTTTTTTCATCTGTACTAAATCCTGTTCTTTTCCAAAAACAAAACTCTTTTGAATGGTCAAATGAAAATGTGCATTAAATTTTTGTATGAAATTAGGTCCGGAAATAATGTTACTCATACGCCACATCGCACTTGGCCGTACTCATACATGGCATCTGAGCAACAGTTTGCAGGTATAAGTTTTCTTTTTTTTTCATTCGCATTGCAAACTTTCAATGAAAATATCTTGGGAAAATTATCTACAACCCAAAATAAGGTTTGCGTGTATCGGCGTTTGTTTGTGTCATTTTAGGGTCCCTACAGTTGTATGTGCTGTTGAAGAAATCTGCTTTCCATAAAGCATATCGAGTTATCCGTTGCCGACCTTAAGGCTTTGATGGCAGCTTGAAAAGGGCAAGCTAAGTCAGCATGAAAAACAGTCTATTTGACTCTCTCATATATAACTTCTGCTAGATCCAGTAACAATGTCCATTTTGTAGCCATCCCTGATAATGGGGATTTCATCATCCTTAAGAACAGTATTACACTTGCAGTCACTCCGGTCGCGAAAATGGATTTCGAAGCTATTATCCGCGGGCTGATAATCACAGCTACTGTGGTGCACCCCCACTCTGTCAAGTATGATTGCGTGGCGCGAAACAACAAATCATTACCATTTTTCTAGGCATAAATTATCAACTTGCATTAAATAAGCGCAAAAAAAGTAGCCGATACGCAACTCAGGTTAAAGAACCTGAATGCGCCACTAGTCCAGTGGCACTATAAATGCCATACCTAGACAAATCAAAGCATTCCATTTCGCCTTCACAATACCGCTGTCAGACACTCGAGTGTCAAAATGTATGAAATTGCAAAAAACCCGCATCACTTACACTTTACTTAATGTCAGGCAAGCCAAAAATGCACTCAGACTAAAGAAAACGCTCACTTTGTTAACAGTTTTTGAGACAAAAAAGTGCCTGTGGTTTGTAACAAAAAAAAAAAAGTACTGAGAAAGTTTTAAAAAAATAAAAAGGAGGCGCGAAAAAAAGGTTTTTGAGGTTTTGTGCATGGGGTACATACATATACATATACTTAGACATACTATAACTAACTACGCAGTGAGGGTAGAGTTTCAAGGAGAGTATGCAACAGTTAGCCACACCACATTGAGCAGAGCATAGACCGCAGATATTATGCTCGAAGTAGTAGTAGACAGCGAGTTGTGTTGGTACTTTGTGGTTGTCGGCCATAAATATTTTAGCATTAACCCCGACGTTTGCTAACTACCAATTGCGCAGTTGATGTACATTCACACATACATACATATATACATATGTACTCGTGCATATGTACGTGAGTAACTTAAGTGTTGTAAATGGATCGCAAAATAGTAGAGTTGTTTTGCTCTTTTATTCTTGTTTGTATGTACTCACCTCGTAAATATCAATGCCATGGTTGAGTGACCATGATGTCTGGAAATAATCTTCAATCCTTTGCTTCAGCTCTTTTGGCATCTACGTGGTTAGAGATGAAAGCGGTGAAAATTACGTTGGCACGTTTGTTGATGGAAAATTCAAGTTGAGTTGGGTACATGTAAAAAAAAGTAGTTGAGTTAAATTTAATATGACTAATGTATATGTACGTATGGTAAAACATTTAGAGTTTGAACATATTGAGCTCGACGCGGTTTTGGACCAATTATTTGCTTTATAAAATGACTTTAAGGTATATATTAAAGTTAACGATTAAGTGTGTTTGGAGGTTCCAAAAAAAAAAAATAAAACATTTACAAATATTGCTGTCTGCATATCTTTCATAAAAATCCGAAAATTCAATTTCAACCCATTAATTTATTTTTGAAGAGTTCTTTGTGAGCTACACATTGAAATACTAAATTGGTTTACAATGTGAGCTTGTTGTTTATGATATTAGGGTGTTCGATTGTTCGCCTCTTTTCCGAAACTGGTTTTCAAGTTATTCGAAACATTTCAATTTAAAAAAAAACGGTTCCCCATTTTGAAATAAAGAAATCTTATAAATAAGTTATATTTTTAATAGTTTCATGCGGAGAAAACGCTAATATTATGTGAAATTGTTATTTTTTTTATTTATTTTTTTTTTTATTTTTTTTTTTTGAAATTATAACCAAAAAATGTAGTAAAAATATTAACAGTGAAGACAGCCTCTATTTACAAAAGAGAAAAAGCATAATCCTGGTCATCAAAATTTAGCGGCATACATGGTGTAATACTTTTAATAAAATTTAAAGAAAGCTCGAACACTGTTGTTTTATCCCGAAAAATAAAAAATCTTGATACAGTATTTATAAGTATAAGTAAGCAAATAGTCGAACATTTCCGCATATTTTTACTTAAAAAATTTTAAAATAATTTAAAAATTTCTCTGCCGACATTTTCTATTGCGGAAGTTAGTAATTCGACATGAAATTTCTGTGAAAATCATCGCCGATGATATCGCAACTTTTTCGAGTTCTTATTCGCTCTCGGGAAGTACTGATCCACCAAGAGTTCACGTCTTTAAGAAACGAAAGCGACAGAACAGTTAGTAACTATTTCGATAGGAATAAGAGTAACTTGTTCGATAAAGTTGGAAGCATTAAAGAAGATTCTTGGGCTGGTAAAATTTTTGATGACCGTAACGAGAGAAATTTGAGATACTTTTGTATTTGCAACCACAGCCGCAGAGTTACGCCATTTTCAGCCTCCCTTCGGCTTAGATTACTATCTCAAACGCACCCATATTTTATGTAATTCCAACCACATAAATATTTTATAAAGCAGTTCCAAAAGTTGATAGTAAATTTCTTTCAAGAAAGAAAGAAAGTTGATAGTAAAAAGTAAGGATAATTTCATCTATAGTATTTGCCTGCCACTACCACAAAATTAAGAGAAGAATTTTCTTCACGTTTTCAATCCCATCTGTGGCACTGCAAATTCATTAGCCGCGGCATCCTCCGAATGCGGACGCTTAAACTGTTGAATCCCGCGAGAAGTTCGAATATTACATGGACCAGATGCAGAAGCTTCCTAGAATTCCCGCAGTCGACAACCGGCCAGAAAGAACTTGCAATTTTTCATGCCAGTATTTATTGGACATCTATTCTCCCCTTGAATGGGTATTTATGAAGAAGGATGGGTTCAGGGCTAGCCTCGAAAAGCTTCAGTCCATTTTTTCTAGTAAGCAGCTGAAACTGTAAAAAATTGTAGAATCCAGAGCTTATTCGCCTAATGGTGGAGCCAACTGCGTCAACTTTGCCCGCAATGTCAATAGGTGGGGCACTGAGCATAGCGTTAAGCGTCAAATAACTGCACCATCCTTGAAGCAGCCTATGTTTTTCAAAAAAAAAATAAAAAATATTAAAAAATGTACATCGAAACCCGCTGAATGCAATTGAGCAGACATGAGTTGACTATGGCTGCCCCGCAGTTTTCACAGTTTTTATTGCATTTACCTGTGCAGCTATTAACGGCACCACGATGTTTTGTTGTTTCTACATACCTATGTTTGTTGTTTTATTTATCGCAGGCATGTCTGCTGTGATGACAGTAATTACAGAACCCTATCAAAAGCAGATATCTCCTTTCAGCGACAATGGTGCGTGATAGCAAAGCCGATGATACGTGAAATACCTATACACTAGAGCAGATCGCGAAAAAACCTCAGCTCATGCATATCTAGTATAATTATGACATGCCGATATCGATAAATAGACTACTACTCGAAATAAAAAATTAATATTATAATGTCGGTGGTAATGTCAGTTCAATCAATAAATTCAATAATGATGACCTCTCGGTTAACTAATCAATATTTTCCAACTAATTTGAATTTTTTAACCGCGTGGCGTACCACTCCTTCACTCAACTCAACAAAAACAGAATATACGGAAATTTTTCAAATTGCTTTTGCATCCCCGTCAGTGTTTTTGTTCCAGTTGTTCAGTTTTCTGCTTTGCCACACCGATAATCGAAGTAAAATTTAATAGTGTGGCAATGCAGCCAGCGGCAAATAAGGCAAATAAAAACCAACAAATAACGAAAAAGAGCAATTTTATGCAGATATCTACTCGTATATGCACTCGCTGGTGTAACTGCACAGATACTAACGGTATAGCCACTGACCCATATGAACGTTAACTCACTTAACTGGCTGTTTGTTAGTCAACATGTGAAGATTGCCATCACCTGCTCAGCCCTACACTGCTACAACACTGCTGTCCGCAACATTCCCTCCTTTCTAGTAAACAACTGCATAGTTGGCATCACACGCCCCAATTTATTTTTATTGCCACATTCCACAGATCGCAGTCGTGGCAAGCACATTTTATATCTTTCCCAACGGATAATGCATCCTCTTCAGTAGTAAGGAGCAATGAAGCGAAAAGTCTGTAGCACCATCACTTGAATTCCAACAACGGTAGTGTAAGCAGTCAACAACAGCTGGCTGTACAGTAATCATAGTTGCCAACTTGGTGCTTTAAGCACTAGATTTAGTGCTTTTGGAAAATTAAAACGCCAAAAAAAAACGGTTTAGTGCCTAGTGCCCTTTTTAGTGCTTTTTTCTGCACTAAAATTTCTGAATTTACAAGAATCTACAAATTTAAATGCACTAAAATGCAAACCATGATTGATAAAAAGATGAAGTTGCAAACCCACGTTCTTGCGTTCTTGTTAAATTGTATTCGCGTTCAAAATGCTAGCACGCAGATAAGCTAAGTGTTTATTTTTTTATTTTCTTGATTATTGATAGATTACACAGTCCGAAAAATTTTAACTTTTTTTGCCACCTGAGTTCATCGTGTTTTAGATTTTTCGGTGCTGAATCCAAATCTGGCTGCAGAATTTCTCTACCACGTCAGAATTTTGAGATATCCTAACCTCTAAGAGTAAAAACACGGTTTATTATAAAAGAAAAAATTGTTTCGCTCATTTCTACTTAGGGTATCATTAAGTAACGGGTGATTTTTTTGAGGTTAGGATTTTCATGCATTAGTATTTGACAGATCACGTGGGATTTCAGACATGGTGTCAAAGAGAAAGATGCTCAGTATGCTTTGACATTTCATCATGAA